TCTACACTGGTTGTAGTAATACTCCTTCCTCAGCAGAGGCTTAACACATTAATACTCCTTCCTCAGCAGAGGCTTAACACATGGCAGCAGAGGCTCCTGAGGGCATCCCTTGATCTCATGACCAGAAGAAAGCTTCATTCTTTACTTAAATTTTAAATTTCCATGTGCTTAAAAGTACAGTGACTTCACAACAATCTTTTCCAGTTTCATCAGGGCAATTAATCCCAGAACTATCCCTTGAGGACCAATTCATGCCGAAATGCAGTAACTATTAATTTCAAAGGCAATGCACTGTATGTCTTCTGGGTCCCCAAGTTGACATCGCCTCACATTGTACTTTCGTCTTTCAGTTAAAGGAGGTACTTTATGCTCACTGCCATATCCAAAACCACCATCACTATTCTAGACATTACTAACTAAAATTATGGTTCTTTGAACACAAGCACTATGACAGCAGATCTAACAACTGGGATGGCTTCTAGGTGGCATATGCGGGCATGGATAGTCTTGACAGAAAGGATCAGTCCTAGATGGGAAGGGACAAGATCCTGCAAGATGTCATTCAAAAGATTACCCAAGTAAAATGTGAGAGTTGTGATGTGTAAGATTATCCTTCATATATATTCCTTATGCAATGTTGTTGTTGTATGTTTTTGCAAATAAAACTGTGAGAAATTCGACGGGAGGGTGTTGGAACACAGTCCAAGAATGGAGTTGTGTGAGGGACATTCTGAGTTCTTTGAGAAAACTCCAAGAAAGCAAGACAAGAACACAGAATTGCTCTTGGGGTGTTTTAGTGCCCCTCCCAGATGCAGTGTGTATGAGTAAGTTTACTGGTGCAGTTTCTCCCTGTCATTATATATGCAGGTAAGTTTCTTGGCCCTCAGACTATAAATTGTGTGATGCTCTGCATGAAGTTGAGTGTTGCATGAGACTTTAGTCCGCCTCATTTAAGGCTCCATTACCCCAAGTTCAACTGCCTTTAGAGTGGTAAACAGGAGGAAAAAGAGAAAATTTAATGGGGAAACTTAATGCACCTGGGCCAAATAAATGAGTAGATGTCTGCCTCTCTGTTCCTTCAGTACTTAGCATTTCTAAGAAGTGAATCAAAGAAATATATCTTGACTGATGCAAAGAAATACTTCCTTTATCATTTTGTTGTTGTTGCAGAATAACCCTACTCTGTTGGGAGCTGGTCTGGTGCTCTGTATTCTAATGCTAATTACTGACCCCAAGATCTGGTTGCTGCCCAGAGGAGCACATTCTCAGGTATACCTGTCTTTGTTGTGTAAAGCTTGCTCCACCTAATTTAAAGTCGATTGGCTAATAAAAAATGCTGAAGCTTCTGACTTGGCAGAAGGAGGCGGAGGCAGCGTTTAAATTCCTGGGCTTGGAAGACCTTGAGGCAGGGAGAGAATATTAGAGAAAGAACAGAAGATAGACCTTAAGACAATAAATGATTTTTGTTTTTTCATCAGTCTGTGAGTTTGGTGGGGAATTCTGAACTTAGCTCAATAAGGCCTGAATAGTCTAAAATGGCATGATTCTCATGTCTAGTGGTTCACAAGCTATTTGTTCTAAGGGACCACACTTGAATGTGGAGCAAATGATTAAGATCAGATGGATTGATTGTTATTATTTTAGAAATGATGCACACAACAGATATTATATGAAAGGCGTTTATTGGATGGAGATGGAGAGAGACAGGTAGAGGAAGGGAGGGAGTGCTCCAACTTAGAAAGTGGAGAGAGGAAGAGAGAAGGAAAGAGCAAGAGAGAGAGGTAAGAGGCAGGGGTTCATTCATAGCTCTAGCGCAGCTGAACTGCCCCTGCCAGGTGCATGCTGCCACACACCTGGCAGGTGACACATGATGACATCATAGGTTACTAGGCAACTGAGAAGCAGGCTGCCTAAATGCTAACAGTGATGTCCTTGCATCTGTTGGCCATCAGGTCAGTTGGGAGTTACTTTTGTGACAATAGGAGAATGTCCAGTGATTAGAAAAGGGTAGCCCCTATTATCATGGCTCAAGCATCCTCTTTACATCACAGCTGTTAACACCCCATTTCTAGAATAGGGAAAAAGAACAGTTTTCTGTCTCAGCTACTGACATCATTGGGGTTGCATTCCTGAGCTCACTACTATAACCCAAAGAGGAGCTAAAACCAAAGAAATTGGCAAGAAGTTAGATCTTCCTAGTTTTCTGCAGGCTATGTGACAAAAGAATCTATGCCTTGATCAAGAGCAATGGAGAGCCATAAAACATTTTAGAAGGAAAAAGATCAATTGCTTGGGTTTCGAATAGAACAGCAACATTTCTAGGTTTTTTCTTTTTTTTTTTTAACTCTTTATTGATTTTGTGAATTTCACATCAAGCACCCCAGTCCTGCTCACCATCTCGTTCTCTCATATCTACTCTTTACCCTCGCAACCTCCCCAACAAAAAAAAAAAAAAAAAAAAAACAAAACGTAAAAAAACCAGCCAAAGCTTAGAAAACATGTCATTGAAGAAGCCATAGTACGTCGAAGTGTGTGCCACAGTAGATCCCTCTGTCCACACATCTTCCAAATGTTCATTGCAGTGAGTCATTGATCTGGTTTGAGATCTCTGACCCCTGTGACACCATCAATATTGAATCCTCACCAGGACTCCTCCCAGTTATCCTGTTGCTGCCTTATGTCATGGAGACCCTGCAGCAGCTTTGGATGAGCAGGACTGGACCTTTCATACTTCTCAATTATATATATAATTGAATACTTTCAATTATTCCCATATAATATATATTTGGGTGGGGCAACTAAGAGGCCTCCCTCTGGGCCTGGCTAGTAGCTGAGCCGGTCAGTATGCTGCCTCTCCCTTATCCCCACCACCAGGGTGAGCTCTCTCTCTCCAGCACTGCTCTGGCTAGGCCACCCAATGCTGCTATGGGCAGGAGGCAGGGTCAGGTCTCTCGCTCCCACACCCTCGGGGCTAGCTCACCCAGCTACTGTGTTGCCCAGTCAAGCTCCGGGGCCCACTCTCTCAAGAGCCTCAGCCTGTGAAAGGCTAGGCTCACCCACTCTCATGATCCTGGGGCCAGCTCTCCCGACTGCCTCACATGGTGAGGGGCGGGGGGGGGATGCAGGACATCACTCCCACGCCCATGTCATCTCACAGCAGATGTATGGTGGGGCCAGCTCTCCCAACGCTCACCCTCGAGGCTGGCTCGTCTGCAGCTCCACCACCATGATCAGTCCTGCTGTGCTATCCAGGTGAGGTACAGGGTCCGATCTCTGGTGCAGCTGGTGAGGGGCAGGGACACCTATCCCAGGTTCATGACGCTGTGGGCAGCTTTCCTGACTGCTGGAAGTGGCAAGGGTGGGAGACAGGAGGCAATCCCTTATGCGCCCATGGGCACCCATGACAGGTGTCACGAGCGCTTAATTATGCCGGAGGACTTTAACCGAGACGCCACAAAGGGCGGCAAGGTATTGATAAAAACCAATGCCAGAATGATTTTTGAAAGCTGCTTTAATCACACAAATCACACATATCTAAGAATTGCATGGCACATTACACATCTTATGGGGAACACAACCTGGCGGGCTCGGACACTTTGCCTCCGGCTTCAGCTGTCTTCTAGGTCCCAGAACTTCGCAGTTCCAGCCGGACCTCAGACGCATCTTCTGATGACTTGATGGGCCTAGGAGCTTCTCTGCTCCGGCCAGGCCTCAGATGCGAAGGAAGCTGCTGTTTCTCCGGGAGCCCGGAGCCGCCTTCCTTGGCGGTCTGATAAGGTGGTCCTCTCAGAACCGGTTTGTTAAGGTGGTCTGGGCTTTTCAAACAGCCGTTTGGGAATTGGCTGGTTAGTGGCGGTCTCTCGGCGTACTCACCAAAGAGTCTGGCCTGCCACACCTGAGTGGACTCTGGCTCCAGTTTTTATACATATTTCAGGGCATAGCTTTAACTTATCATTCTTTCACACACACACACACACACACACACACACGCACACATATCAGCTGCCTTAAGAGCGTTCTTAGTTACTATTACTACGAATATCTTATCTATCCTTGACAGCTCTGCTGTCTTACAAGCTCTCAATGTCTTAGGGGCATTGCCCAGTCACTGTCACCAAAAATGTCTCTTAACTTTGCTCCTGACAGCTTTGCTGTCTTACAGGCTCATTACAACAGGCAAGTAGTGGGGTTAGCTTTCCCACATCCGTGCTCTCAGGTGGCTCACCCACACCAGGGCCAGCTCTGTTGTGCTGCCTGCGTGAAACTGGTGAGAGGTAGGGCCATCTCTCCACAGCACCGAAGCCAGTGAGGGGTGGGGCCAGTTCTGCACATCTCCTGGACATCCAGGTAATCCTAGCAGCTGCCCTGACCAGGGACAGATCCATGTTCTCTAGTGGTAGTATCAGCCACAGACATCAGCACCAACCCCTGCCGCTGCTGCGTAGCCATGGACCCAGACATGGCCCTCAGCAGCAGCTCAGGCTGAAGCCTCCCCATAGCCCCAGGTGGTGGGGCTGGCCGCTCACAACAAGCTACTCCTCCCCACCCTCAAGTCTCCAGTTCCAGCTCTCTTCATAATGCTCAAGCTCTTCCACTTCTCTTTCATCTGACCACCACATACATGGTGGCGTGGCTGGTCCTGCTAAAAGCTGGTGGGCCTCAGGGTGACATCCTCCATCTGGTGGTGTTGTGTGGCATGGTGGCAAGTGGGTGTTAGGGCCTGCCTGTGCCGTGTGCCTGAAGGCAGGTCTGTGGAGGTGTGGCACTCCGGAGGTCTCTGTCTGTCTTCCTCCTCTTGTGCTGAGCTTGGTGGTGGTAGGTGGGGCTCTGTGGGTAGATTTCCTCACCTGTGCCTCACAGCGTGGCAGAACTCAAGTCTCTATTTTCCTCCTCCCACGATTCGCTGCCTGGATTTTATTTTATTTTATTTTACTTTATTTTTTATTTTATTTTATTTTATTTTATTTTATTTTATTTTATTTTATTTTATTATTTTATTTTTATGAGTCCTAGGCATAAAACAGCTTTGGCCACCAAGCCAGGCATCAAGTTAAGACAAACAGAGGGCTGCCATCTGCTCTGCCCCTGGCTGATACATGAACGCCACCACCAAGATATCTCTTTGCTCACTGCCAGGGGGAAACTTCTAAGTTTTGAAAGGAATAGTGAAATATAATGCTTTAGTCACATAATGTTGGGGTAAGGGAAAGGCACTTCTTTGTTCTTCTTTGTTCTGCGGTGGGATGATAAAGCATGAAGGCCCCAGATTGGGTCTGTCAATCTTAGACTTTTTCACATGTGTATATACAGGAATACGTATGGACATTAGAGGGCCTCAGGTATCTTTTTCCCAGGCGCTGTCCATCTTGGTTTTGGATCTAGGGCCTCTCACTGGCCTGGGAGCAGGGTTATGCTAGGCTGGGTGGCCCACAGCCACTGGCATCTACCTATCTCTGTCTCTCCAGCACTATGATTACAAGAATTTTCTTTTTCTTTTTAATATGGGAATAGTATGGAAGTTCTCATGCTTGTGTACCAACCACTCCAAAGACTTAGCTATCTTCCCAGCCCCCTGCACATTTTGTTGTTTGTTTGCTTGTTTGTTTCTGGGTTTTTCAAGACAGGGTTTCCTGTATAGCCCTGGTTGTTCTGAAACTCACTCTGTAGAACAGCTGGTCTCAAAGTCACAGAGATCACCTGCCTTTTCCTCCCAAGTGCTGGGATTAAAAGCATGCACCATCACTGCTTGGTAAAGTGCCCAGACTCAGGTATTCTGTTATAGTAATCAAAACAGAGTAAGGGGCTGTAAATATAGCTTAGTAGCAAAGTGTTTGCCTAGCAAGTATAACAAAACAATACAGTAAGAGTGGGTGAAACTTGAATTTGCTTGAATACTGAAAGATAAAATATTGCAAGAGGTTAAAGGGAGATTTCTGAGAATTATGAAGAGGAACTTAAGGCTATATAATTTTTTTTTTTTTTTTTTTTTTTTGCGAAGAAAAAGAGAAGTTCATACTGGATAGCTCAATGTGCTGTGCAAGCATGAGGACTGGAGTTCAAATCCATAAAATCTCAGTGTTATGGGGCAGTAGGAGACAGGAGGATCTCTGGGGCTTGCTGACCACCAACCTAATTCTAGATTCAGTGAAATACCCTCTCTCAAAGCAGTAAGATAGACAAGGATAAAACAGGACACCCAAGGTCCTCTTTGTGGTCTCTATGCATATAACGGGCTCCCCCAAATTAAAGTAAGAACACTAAAAACTAAAAAGGATTTTTGCTACCCCTTTTAATCACCCCTCCATATTTTTCTAGTTTCAAGAGTGTAATTTTGTGACTGATTTGTTTGACTCAACAAAATGTCTTTATTATGTTATAATATCTAATGTCAAGTTGTTATACATACCAATTCTGCGTTCCTCTTTCTTGCTAATCATCTATGTGAAAACATCCCCCAGCATGGTACTACAATTCTACCAGTTAGTTAATTGGGCTCCAAATCTGATATCCTTCTTGATTCTCCTCCTATATAAGCAGGATACCAGCAAATCCTGGCAGCTTTTCTTTCAAAATAGACCTTGAATTTGATCACTTCTCACTACCTCTAGTGATATTTACCTCAGGAGACATAATCTTCTTCCAGGATTATTACTTTTATTTTTATCTCTCTAGCATCATAGTCTATTCTCTGTGCCACAACCAGAACGGTTCTTTTAGAGATTTATGTGTGATCAAGTCACCTTTTGGCTCAAAACTTCTCATTGGTGTTAGTAGTGTCTGGCAACATTGTTTTTATAGTTTACACTGGTCTGCATGGTTGAGCACCTGGCTACTTCTTTATGTAGTCTCTACATTTGCCTCTGACTCAGCCATAAAAGTCTGTCTGCTATGAGTTTTGTTTCCTTGTTATTGTTAGTGTTCCCTTCCTAAGGACCTGCCAAACATGTTCTTCTTTTTTTTTTTTTTTTAAATAGTTTATTTAATTTTATGTGCATTAGTGTGAAGGTCTCAGATCCGTTAGCATTGGCATTACAGACAGCTGTGAGCTGCCATATGGTTGCTGGGAACTGAACCCAGTTCCATTTAGAAGAGCAGACAGTGCACTTAACCACTGAGCCATCTCTCCAGCTCCGCCAAACATGTTCTTAACTCAGAGCATTTAAATATGCTGTCTCCTCTGCTCAAACATTCTTCCTTTAGATATCCACCAGATGAGGCTTGCCCGATCAAATCAGTCTCATTTCCCTTTAAGAGCTCCTTATCAATGAGTTCTTCTCCAGCATCTAAAAATAGAAGTTGCTTGACACCACTGTTTAATCTTTACCCTGCTTTGTTCCGCATAGCACTTATCTGACAGTATGTATTTTGCTTGCTTTCTCTAGAACCAGGAAAGATCACTGAAGGCAGGAAATGGGTTTTGTCTGCTGCTCAATAAATACTGAAGTGAGAGCCTGGCCAGGCATGTACAAGGAATTTGGTAATTTTGACTGCATAATTTATAAAAGGGGAAGACAGGATGGGAACACATGTAAGTAGGTGTCTAGATTTCAGGGTATTTTACATTTTCTGTTACTTACTTGGTAAGGTAATCAGAGGAAGTGACATGTGAATACAGAGCCAGAGACTCAGAGATAGTGAGGATCAAGCTGAATAGAATATAATGTACTTTGAAGCCACTGGATAATTTAGTGATTTCAATCATTTTCACACAGTTTTCTTTTTTCTTTCCTTTTTTTTCCCCTTCGGTTTTGTTTTTTTGAGACAGGGTTTCTCTGTGTAGCCTTGGTTATTCTGGACTCACTTTGTAGATCAGGCTGGCCTCGAACTCACAGAGATCCATCTGCCTCTGCCTCCCCGAGTGCTGGGATACAGGCATGCGCCACGGCACCTGGCTCAATCAGATCATTTTCTTTGAGAAGAAACAGGTATGAAAATTACATTAGTGTCTTCTGGGTAGAGGTCTTAGTTGAGAAAAAGGAATGTTAGGGTGATATTGAAAGACTGGGGTTATAATGATGTACCATTGTATCTAGGATAAGGAAGGAAGTGAAGGTTAATGTGTAAGAGATTGGAGTTTCTGATAAAGATGAAGAGTTATGTTACAATTCTTGAGCAAGGCAGGAGGAAGTGGCTAAGTGCTCTTACACACACTAAAAAAAAAATTTTTTTTAATTCAAGAAAAAAAGTCATTAGGAACTGAGGAAACAGATTCGTTAGTTAAGTGCTTTGCACCAAGGGCCTAATATTGGATACCCAACATCTAAAAAGCCTAGTGTGGTGCACACCTACAATCTTAGCGCTGGGGAGGGAGACAGAAGATTCCTAGGGCTTGCTGGTCAACTACTCTTGCTAAATAGTGAGCGACAAATTCAGTGAGAGGCTTTGTCTTAGAAGAGGAAAAAATAAAAATAAAAAGGAAGAAAGAGAGAGAGGAAAGAAAAGAAACCTGGTAATATGATCTAGGTTTTGGCTGGGATTGAAAAACTGTTGTAAGGCCCAACGTTAAGTGAGCCTTAGACTCTGGATCAAGAAAGATGGTCAGATAGGAGAAAGTTAAAACAAGAAGGTGCACCCATAAACGGACAGATGTTTACCGTAGCCGAACGTCTCAGATGCAAGGTTTTGTTGTTTTATTGTATAAGCGTTGCCAGGATTCAGCACGCAGCCCCTACCTTTGGAACCTTGGGAAAGAAAATATCAACTACTGTGACCGGGGTCGAGTTGGGGTGGATGGAGGGTGGTGTTCCAGGAGCTGCAGCAGTTCCTGGGGAAGAGGAAAATCTCGCTTCAATAAGTGAAGCTCAGAGAAAACCTGAAAAGGGGCGGGAATGCTTGATGAAGACTGGCTGAAACATAGCGTTCTTGCCTCCATTCTTCAACTTATCGCACGCAATGGTCAACCTCCGCAGCCAGAAGTAAGAGCAGACCACACTTACCCCTGTTTTTTCAACTCCCCGCGAACGAGCTCCCGCCGGAACTCCTCTGTGTCTGCGCTTTCTCATTGGCTGAAGCTGCCACCCGCCCTAAGTAGTTCCGCCCACGGTCTTGCCCGGAGGGCGGTCTCTAGGGGCCACTTCCGACTCAGCCCATTCACCCACCCCCGCCCCCTTCCCTTTTTAGCTGCTTCCGCTCTCGGGCCCCGCCCCCGTCCGCAGGCCCCGCCCCTGGCCCCTCCCCCGCCCGCGGACGGCCGGGCCCCTCGGCACGGCTTCCGGTGCGGGCCCCGCCCCGGCTGTGGCCCCCAGCTGCGGAGGAGTCGGAGGCTCAGCTGCTGCGCCGGGGCCTGAGCGGCCGCCTCCTCCCGACTCGGGAGCCCGGAACGCTGCGCATAGGTGAGCGGCGCGGGTTTGTGTTCTTTCAGCCGCGGCGGGAGCGGGGCTGTGGCAGGTGGAGGGGGCCGGAATGGGAGCCGAGGCAGGTGTGTAGGGGAGACGCAGCGAAGCTGGGGACCGCTGAGAAAAAGTGAGCGCCGGGAGGAGCCCGGTCCTGCCTGGGCCCAGAGGAGTGGGTTGAAATAAAGAGATGGGAAAGGTAAGGGGTCTCCGGGAACTGCAGAGCGAGCTTAGGTGGGGTTGGGGTGATTGGAGAAGAGCCTGGAGATTGGCAGAGAGGACTTGGTGGAAGTAAAAGTGATAGGGCTCCATTGAGTGGGGGTAAAGGATGGAAAGAGGGGCTCGAAAGGGTCGGGGACAGAGCAGCTGGACGCTGTGGTAAGGGAAAAATAGTCAGCAAGGCCGGGCACCAGAGGCAAGCAGTCCGTTGCGCCCGACTTGGAGGTTCGGGAAGTTTGGAGGACATGAGCGAGGGATGAAGTGGTTTAGATTTCTGAGACATAAATTCTCTAAATGTTGGTAGTGTTGTTTGGCTCATTGGCTGTTGAGGGATTGGGATGAGATGGGCTCTGTGAGGGAGAATGTGCCAATTGAGTTGTAGAACGGAGTCATCTCCGTCTTACTAAATAAAGAGGCTATCGGACACCTCCCCCTCTGCTGAGGACAGCCTATGGAGAAGATGGTGCCAACCAGACGAGAAAGAGTTGTACAGTGACTGGCAGGAGCTGGTTGAAATACTCCGGTTGTGTTGGCTGACTTTAATGGCTCTACGAATATTTTTAAATGACCAATGAATTGCTTGTTGTTCTTTTGTGTGCGGTGTTTTTGTTTTGTTCTGTTTTTTTGTAGTTTTGTCCCAGAAGTGGCTTTTATTTTAAATGAACACTTGCCAACTGGTGTAAATCCTTTCAGTAAAGCCTTAGAGTATAAGAACTAAAGCAGAATTAAAGTATCGCTGCAGGCATAACTTACACTTTCCAAACTGCTAAGAGGAAGCACAGGCAGTAAGAGGCAAATTGGAATTTGAATCTTTTAACAGGTTATGAAAGCTACAACCAAGTGCTTCGAAGAAACAAAATGAGAATTGTCTAGCATGGGTTTGGTTGTTGTTTAACTTTTTTTTCTCTTTTTTTTAAAAATTGTACCTCTGTAAGCATGTAAAAATTTGTAAGTCAAAGCCATGTTTGTTACAGATTTTTCTTGTTAGAGATTACTTCCCCCATGAATTTTTGAAGATGGGAAGGATTTGATTTTCTTATCTTCCAGCTCAGTCCTAAAACACTGGGGCCATCTCAAGTCCCAACCTGCACAGTTTACCCTTTCATGTGGCAACAAAATTGCATGCCCTGTTGCTAGTCGTCTTCACCATAAAATTTGCTCTGGCATGGTAATCCATTCACTTAGGAAGACTGGTGAGAAAGTATAACTTAAGTGAGGTTTGTTGAAGGCGGGAACCGGGAAGGGTTAGAGGTGGATGGGTGTGAAAGGGGTTTGTATTTGGAGACACACTGGTAAGAATGCAGATAAACCTGCCCCCAGAATACTTTAGGACTCGAAGCCTCTTCTTACTGTATTCACAGAATAAAAATAGTAGAAGTGAATCAGAAAGAAAGAGGATGTGAGGAGATTTACTTGCAGTTTATAAAAAAAGAAACATTTAACTTGTTTAGACAATATTGGTACCTGTTTCAAATTAATTAACTTTAAAATCTCCAGAGGAATTCCCCGGTTGTTTGTTTTTGAGGGAAGCTTGCAATTTGAGACTCTTGCCTCCTTGCATGTTTCTTTCTTTCAAGTTGTTGAAACCGGATTCTTTTGGAGGCGGTAATGTCCACTTAGGCTGGTTCAGTCCACTCAACAAGCTGGCTGGCAATTTGATCTGGGAAATTTGTGAAGTTTAAGCCAAGAGCACTTGCTTGGTCTTGCTTTCTCCATCAGAAAAGTCACTCTGTCTGCCTGCTCTAACTCTGTCTACCTTGAGTAGTAATCTTCTCCAGAGGGCCTGGGAATATAAGCCCTATTCTTTCTTTTGCAGTCAGGCCGTTGTTAACTGTCATTTTCATAATCATTACAGATTTCATAGTTCTAACCCCTGTACAGTGCAAGCCCCCTAGATAAATGTTTGATAATGTAGAGTAAGAGATGAGAACTCAGCTATTAGCAGACCTAAATATCTTCTGAATTTTCTTTTTTAAAAAAATGCTTAAATCTGCCACTACTGAGATATCCCTCCCCCGCCCTGTTTCCCTCTTTAGATCCTGTTTTTTTTTTTTTTTTTTAATATAACTTTCCCTCCCCACCTGCAATCTCCTATGACTTACTCATCTTGAAAGTCAGGTTTAGGAGCATTTAGTATTCAGAACATTACTGGAGAAAAGAACATCTTTGATACCTGTTTTACATAGTTTTCTCCCTTCCTTCTCCTCCCTCATGGTTTTGGTTACTCACTTAAAATATAGACCCAGTGTGCCTGCTGGGCTGTGCCCAGATTGAGAGCCATGCCAGTCTGTGGGTGAAGCCTTGAGACAGTAATGGAGCCTCTGCAGCAGCAACAGCAAAAGCAGCCACACCAGGCTCCTGTACAGATGGATGCCAGAGAGAAGCAGGGGCCACAGACAAGAGAAGCACAGTTCCTGTATACCCCCAAACTAGCCACCCAGCCTTCTCTCCTTTCTCTCACGCCTGGAAGACCTTCTGGTAGCCCTGTCCTGGCTCCCTTAGCCAGAGTTCCACCAGTCATACCAGTGACTAGAGTATTTGACCAGAGCAACGTCAACTCTGAACCTGAGGAAGAAGAAGAAGGAGGTCTGGAAGATGAAGATGGAGATGATGATGTTGCAGAGGTGGCTGAAAAAGAGGCCCAAGCTGCTTCCAAATATTTTCATGTGCAGAAAGCAACTCGCCAAGACCCCAGAGCAGCACCCATGTCCAGCCTGCTTCCAGCACCTGGACTCCTGCCACAGGGACAGCAAACTAAGGAAGACCATACCAAAGATGCTTCCAAGGCCCCACCTTCTGTCTCCACAGCAGGGCAGCCGAGCTGGAATCTGGATGAGCAGCTTAAGCAGGTCAGTCTTTCTGCTGTGGGAGGCCATTTGTTCTACCTATTGGCCATCTACAGAGGGTGCTGGATGGGCAGGAGCTGGGACTATGCCTTCTCACTCTACATCATTGAATCCACATCACTGACTTAGACATGAATAAACTGAAGTTTTTCTCAGCATTGTTTTTCATGAAGTAAGACTATTGCTTCATGATAGTGTAAGGCCTTAGAGTCAATCTCTAGGACCACAAAAAATTAAGTGATGGTTCTTTTTTATTAAAGCACTGGAGTGTTTAAGTTTCTGTTAATGTACTTTGTACCAAGTTTCTGTTAAAGAATTTCTCCATTTTTTAAAGGACAAATGAGGTAATAGCTTTGTTTCATTAGAACTATCTAAAAACCAAAGAGGTTAGCTTACACCTGTAACTCCAGCACTCAAGTGGAGGTAGAACAGGTTCACTGTGAGTTCTAGAGTAAAACCCTATCTCAAAAACCAGAAGATAATAACAACAACAGCAACAGTAATAATAAAATAAAAAAGAGTTGGGTGTGGTGGCATATACTTTTAATCTCAGTAGGTAGAAGGCAAACAGATCTTGGTGAGTTCAAGGCTAGCATGGTCCTCATACTAAGTTCCAGGCCAGCCACAGTTATATAATCAGACCTTGTCTAAAATAATTTAAATAGTAAAATTCGTGGCTCTAATCAGTTTTCCTAGTAGGAATGTAGAATGATTTCTCTTATGATTTTATTAGCTCCAGGCAAACTCAGGCAAAACGCATTTTTTTGAAGTTGAACATAGCTGCTAAGAAGCACTTACTTGTATTTCTCAACAGAGTCTTATAGACATGATTGTTTTATCTTTACATTATCCGGTTAGTAGGAGGGAAGGGAGACCTCAGAGTTCCCTTTTTATCCAGAGAAAGTTGAAATTAGTTGCAAACATGATTGTATATCAGAGTCAACTTTGGCGAGTCTTACTTGGGAGGGTGGATCTAGAGGTTGGTATTGCCAGAAACCAGGGCCTCCAGTGTGCTAGTAGGAAAACAATGGAGTCCTAATAATGAATTATTTTAGAGGGTGGAGCTTAGGGAATCTTGTCTCAATTAGGTCTTTGTCTTCATAATTTCTTTGTGATCTACACTATTCAGAGTATAAGTAATAGTAGGTTGTTCCAAGGTAGCCTGTTGGCACTATAAACAGGGCATTCATGATAAGGCCATTAGTACCTAGATAGTCTGAGTTTACACGTGTGGTTCAGCACTTCTATTTAGAAGCCATTTGTGAAGAGCTATGGCTTACAAAAGGCCTCCTGGGAACTCATAACAGAAAAGGTCCTTTGGAAGCTGAAAAATCAGGCATAAACAGTAGGTTCAAATCCCATTCCTTCCATGTCTTTCCAGTGATCTTTTGGTAGCATTCTAAATTGTTCTGAGCCTGTGTTTTCTCAATTGTAGATTGAAAAAAATAAAGTATGGCTTATACTCAAACTCCAAATTTGTAAGGCTGAGACAGAGTTAGGAGTTTGAGGCCATCCTGGGGTACAAAGTAAAAAACAGTACTGTTTTTAGTGCTAGTACTACTAAGAAGGTGTTTCTCAAGGGTGTTGTAAAGAGAGCAAGTGAGCCATGTGAATGTCTGTCTGTGCCAGGCACATGCAGATGTGCTGCCAGAGTTGTCTTATACAATGCTTGTGTCTTCCTTACATCGTAGTGGACATAGCTCTGAAGCAGAGCAGGTACTGGGAGACACATCACTCAGGGAGGTACCAGCGCAGCAGGCTAGGGCTACAATCAGAACCCTAGCTTCCACGACAGCAGCACCCTGGCCACCAGCCCAGATCTGCCTCCTGGCTGATTTCTTTGGTTTAGTAAAACATCTGTGCGTTGTCGGCAGCCCCTGCACTGCTGTGTGGTTGGCACAGTTCCATGCTGGCCGCTGAGTCAGCGCGAAGTGGGAACCGCCCTGACAGGGCTGGGAAAGTTCAGGCCCGAGGCTGCTCCTGCCCCCGCTTTGGCAGCTGGCCAGCCTCTGTGTGTGTGTGTGCGGTCATTCCTAGAAAGTGCAGCCGTGTGTGAGGAACAAGTGGAGCTCCAGAGCCTGTCTGTCTTCAGGAAGTGCAGCAGGTGTTGAGGTCAAGCCATTAGAGCTTTGAAAAAAGAGACTCTCAGGACTGGAGTGTGTGTGCACACGTGCACACGGTGGCAAGGTGCCCAGCCCGCGCTCTGTGTGGCAGCTGTCCCTCGGCTGCACAGCTCAGTACTCTGGAGGCTGGCTGTTGGGTTCATTCAAGTCTCTGAGGCATACATACTAAATATAGACAGAACACTTGCCAGAAATGTTTTCATACGTGCCAGAGCAGCTAAGGCCTAATCTTTCAGTCTAAATTTACTTTACCTCAGAACTCAGAGAAGTCCTTCAGGGAGATGATGGGTAACGATGTCTTACAACCTCTGGTGGACACCTCTTGTTCCTCTCGTAGATTTAGTTTTTCAGTTTGGTCTGTGGATTCCTTTGCTTGTTTTTGTTGTTGTTTTATGAGAGTGTTAAATTTTTACTACATTTTATTTATGTATTTATGCATGAGGGCATATACATGTCATCCTATATGGCAGTCAGAGGACAAGTTGTAGAAGTCAGTTCTCTCCGTACACCATGTGGGGCTCAGGGATAGAACCCAGGCTGCCTTAGTGGCAGGTGCCTTTGTCCCCACTATCCTCCTCCCTTGATTTAGCCTTGATAAATTGTGTGTGTGAATGCATATGTGTGTGTGCTATAATGTAGTTAGGTATATGTGTGGACATTTGTACCACAATGCTCATGTAGAGGTCAGAGAACAGAGGAGTTGGTTCTGTAGGTCCATGTGGGTCCTAGAGATCAAACTCAGGTTGGCAGGCCTGGTGGCAAGTGCCTTTACCTGCTGAACCATCTCACCAGCCCTTAAAACGTGTTTTTTGAAAGACTAAATAATGTACCTGAGGATTTTTTTTAAACATTTTTATTTATGCTTTGGATAGAAGACTAGAAAAGGAGCCAGATGTCTAGCAGTGGTACTGCAGCTACCTCAGGGTTGAGCTGGAAGTTGGCTACAGTAACTTAACTCTTAACTCTGTCCTAAGTCAGCTGAAACCATGCCTAGTCTACTCTGTGATGCAACTATTCTAAAACAAATGTTTTTCATACATTCATATTCATACCAAAGTAGAAGAGGTGATTTTTTTTTCCTTCTCTGTACAGCGTAGTATAGAATTCTCAGAAAGTGTTTTACAGGAGTTGGTGAGGGGCTGGGCAGGCTTTGCAAGCTTAAGAGTGGCACATTGTTTCTGAAATCCTATTCTTACAGTACATAGAGTCAAAATTACCTCATGGATTCTGTTCTCAAAGAAAGCCTTGCAAAATATTTGCTTCTCAAAGCCTGGCAAATTCTCTGACACCAGGGTGAGGGGAAGATGGATAATACTATGGAGCCCAGCATTCTAAAACCTGTCAGATTTCTATGGGCAGAGTAAATAATTGTAAAACAAGACAACAAAGAACTGAGTGTCTCTTTTCTCAAAGGAGATCACACAGCCAACTTGGTGAGGGAGCAGGGGTTTGCTGGCCCTTTAGGGGTGGTCTCCTACTGCCTGGATAGTGGGTGTTTCGGCAGTACAGGCTTTGTCTTGAGCCTATTAGTGGAACTAGGCTTCCTTCCACAGACCTGGAAGATGGGCGATAGTTTGATAGGCATGTGGGAGCTAGAGTGTACATGTCTGGTTTTCTGCATACTTTGCCAGACACTTGGTTACTTTGTGTGGCTTTGCATTGCCAGATAAGTGCAAAGCACTGAAGATTTACTAGGGTTCCTTGCGCAGTAAAGATTGACCCCTCCTCAGCCCCTGCATCTTACAAGGCTTTGTTCAGAGTTGCCTTCTATGATGAAAGAGTCATTTCAGAAAACTTGCAGCTGAAGAATTTGTAACCCTTCTTAAAGCTTATACTGATCACATGTTAATGAGAACAGGGGATTGTCAGTTCTGAACACCTGGGAGTTGTTTGCTTCATTTTCAGCCTGTCATGACAGCACCTCTGCAGGATAGATGTGGAGGAAGCTCCAAGGAATATGGGAAGGATCATTTAGTTTTTATGTACTGGCAGACAGAAAGCAACTTGGTTTAGAGTTTGTTTGTTTGTTTGTTTTAGTAAATCATTGAATTTGTGGACAGTTAATAAAGTGCCTATTAATGGCATACAGAAATGGAAATTGGGTTTAAGTACGATTTGGTTGACAGAGTGCTCACCAGCACATACAAACCTTGAGCTTGAATCCCAACACTCCATAAAGGACGTGGTGACACATTTCTGCAGTCCAGCATTTGGAACATAAAGGCAGGAAGATCAGCAGTTCACAATAATCCTTGGCTGCATAGTTGAGGACAGGCTGTGCTATGTGAGGCTGTCTGAAAAAAATAAGAAATGGAAAAACAAAAATTAAAATTAGGCTTGTCTTATGAGAGATTAATTCCTGCTAGGTCATTAGCCTGTAGTGAGGCATCTATCTTTTTTCTTCTGATGCTCTGACAAATTGGTCTCCAGGATCTGTCCCTCTGGCATGTGGAGCCATCAGTAGGCCTGATGTGCTTGGTACACATTTGAGGGGTTTTGCAAAACTTTAAACTGTTGCCTGGAAAGAAAAGGGGGTAGGTTCTCTCTGCTTTCTCTGTAGTGTGTCTTCATGTTCCAGGATATGGAATCACTGTCTACATCAGTGACTCAGTGGGAGCTGATCCTTTTCTATTGTTCCACCAGATACTTAGCAATGTCAAGAAATGCTCTGGTGCCTGTGTCTGGAAGCAGGTATGCTCCTAGTAGCTTCTAATTAGAAGAGCCAGCAGGGCATGATGGCACAAGCCAGGCGTGGTGGTGCACACATCTGTAATCCCAGCACTGTGGGAGGCAGAGGCAGGAGGATCTCAGCGAGTTTGAGGCTAGCCTGGTGTACAAAGTTGAGTCCAAGATAGCCAAGGTTATATAGAAACTGTCTTG